CTTGTTGTTTGTCATTTCTCCGATCACAAATGCAGACATGGTTTTATGTTTACGCGGCGTGATGCAACGCAACGCGTAATAAGACAGTATAAGTCATTATAATCCTGATTATGTCCCCACTGGATGCAACAAATGCCTCGTTTATAATGGGTTTTCATGTTTTTGTCTCATCGCTCCGGCCGGACAGGGCATATGGTAAGGGGCGTAACATTTCCGTCACACACTTGAGGTATTCGGCCAATCACAACACACTGGATAGCTGGCCAATCAGAGCACACCTCGCTTTTCAGACCGATGAGCTTTGTAAAAATCGACGCGTTTCAGAAAGGCGGGGCATAGAGGAGAAACAATAATGTACAGTATGTGGAAAATAATGTGTTTTTTGAACCTTAAACTGCAAAAACACATTTCATTACACCAAATACACAAAATAATGTTCTTTTTGGCAGCATCATATGACCCCTTTAAATCAAAACATTTTAGATTTTGTTTTAATTAAGACAGGGTTATGTAAGGGTTGTAGCGCTTTTATACTGCAAAAAAAAAGTCTCATTTAGAAGTAGCTATCTGCATTTCATAAATTATGAAATTGTATCTCTTTGTTCAGACAGTGTTGTCAATATATCTACATTGGTTGCCATATAATCACCTGACCATCTAAATGTTTAAAGTTTAATCTGACTTTAAATCAGGTTTGTAAAAATCAGATTGTGGTGAGTTTATATATTTCTTGCAATTGCGAGAGAAAAGTCAGCATTGTGAGAGAAAAAGTCGCAATTACCTTTTTTTATTCTGTGGCTTAAACAAGAAAAACAATTGTGAGATGTGAACTCACATGTGAGATAAAAGTCAGAAGTGGGAGATTTAAACCTTTTTATTTCTTATTCAGTGCCAGAAACTAGCTTCCATAAGCAATCTGTTCTCATCCATAGTTGTTTAATATTCATGAGGAACGGGATTTTGGTCTAATGAGTTTTATTTGTGGTTGGAGCAACTGCTTATCACTCTTGCTGCTAGTTAGGACAGAAACTCAAATTCACTTATAGCATTTTTATTTAATCTTTCTCTCTCTCCATATTTTTTAGGGGCGGGATTACTGCTCAGAGGAGGAGGAGGATGTGACATAGCAGAGAGGCGCCAGATCTTGCCAGAGATGGAAATAGAGAGAGTGTGAACTCAAAAAATCAGTGTTTCCTATGTCTGTAACACTCTGTCGTTCTGAGAGCGAGTGTGCGTGCGAGTGCGTGAGAGCGTGTGCTTGTGAGAGCGAGAGAATGCAGGACTTTTCCTTATAGGCTGTTGCACCCTTGACCCCTTCTCCTCTCTTGGGGTTGCCTTGCTTGGAGATCTAAATGGTTTTGGGTGAAGAAAGAACAGCTTGATTGATGTATTATCAACACCGACTCACTCTGACGTGAAATGAGGACCCCCGTCCCCCTCCGCACCTCTCCTCCTACGGCCAGCATTGAAACGGCCCCCTTCCTCCGCCTGGCTGTGACGAAGCCATCTGAGAGAGAGAAAGAGAGATTATGTCAAGGAGAGCGAGATGAAAGGATATGGAGAGAAAAAAGATGACATGCCCCTCCCAGTCCTTGTTTTAAGTGGCAGGCCAGAGAAAAACTGACATATGGAGGAACCAGAAGAGAGCTTACGAACATCCTCTAGAGATAACGGGGAGTGAATGTAAAGATGGAGTGATGTGGGTTTTTGGGGAGAGAAATGATTGAACGAGAGATATTTTATGAAGAGCGACTATATGAACGAACTGGCTGATTATTTTGATATTTTGATAGGAGCGTCGTGGCAAGTTTTTGAACATTTGAGTATGGACTCCTGCCTTTTGAAGGACCTATTTTAATTTGTCGAGATTGATTTGTTTGTTCCATAAATGTTTTTTTTTGTTTGTTTTTTTTGCTTATTGCGTAGATCATACCTCTTTAAGCTTGTGCTGTAAAGGTCAGGGCTGTACGGTGACCCCATAACACACTCGCTCTCTCTCTCACACACTCTCACACACACACACACACACACACACATACACAGAGAAAGACTTAAAGCTAAAATTATCACCACACCCTCTTTCTACACACAGGTTCACACTTTCATTTTGTATAGCCTGCTATTATTTGTAAATTTCTCTGAAAATTAGTTACCCACACACACATCCAAATATATCCGTTACAGCCACCCGCAAACTGGCAGCATTTAACTTAAAGATCCGTATTGACTGTTTATGCTGCCCTTTAATACAGGTAATGGACTGTGAAGAGACTATGGCAGAGAACTGGGGTTGTCTGTTTTGTTTTGTGTGTTTCGAGGGCTGTATTTGTGTTAATCTGTGTCAGAGAACCAGGTCTTACTGTGTTAATGTTGTCAAAGGGATGAGGTGTTTGTCTTAGGCCTGTATGCGTTTAGCCAGTGTTTACCTCTATTTCTCACCCTGCCTTTCTTACGCAAAAGTATTCAGTCGTGCTGGCTAAAATGAATTCTCGTTGTCTCTTACAATTCATAGACATTCTAGACTTAAACAGTATGAGGTGGGGTGGGGTCACTTTGGGGGACACAACGCTGGCCAAGCATCTGTCGTTATGATTACTGGATTGATTCCTTTTTAATTTTTATTTTCAATGTTTTCTTTTTCTATTAAAATATAAGACACAAGAGCTGTGGTTTCTGTGTGCTGTCTCACCGATTAATTTGTGTGTGTGTACGTACTGCTTTGCTAACATCATTAAGCCATTACAGCGTCATATTTCCTGTTGGTGGTCTGACTCATAACGTTAAAAATACTTAATGGTTTCTGAGATCGAATTTCAAATGCAGAAATGTGCAGATCACATTTCCACCATGGGTTAATATCAAACCGTACAAATGTTTAACTATATTGTTAAAATAGCTGTCCAACAGCACGTCTTTTCGGAGAATCCACACAGAGACGAGACATTATAAGTTGACAGACCAACGCGAAGCATATGTGCGTTTTAATTTCACTTACTACTTGTGGTTTGTCTCCACCTGCAGGTTGAAGAATGGAGCTGAACTATGCTAGAAATGTATAAAATGCTATATTATTAGATTAAAATGTATATAATTGTATAAAATCAACGTGTATGTTTTAGATTTCATGACTCCTTTTCATCACTTTGATGCCTTTACTAGGCTACTTCATTTGAGTTGCTAGTGCACCGGTGGACATTTCAGGGTATTTAGGATATTCTGACACATTACGGTTTCCAGTGGTTAAACTCTAATATGCTCCTTCCACAGCTTTAATTTACTTGGTGCTTCTAGAGAGTCTGTGTGTTTATTAATGCTTAAATCTCTCATGCCGCACAATTGGAAAAAAATGGACACGCAGAAAGTGCCACAAACAATACATATTTGAGAGGTAAAATTAATAGTAAATGTCTATAACTCTAAAACTATTTTTTATTTTTTTATTTACTTCCTGTTGGATTTATGATTAGCAACTTTTCAATCCCAAAGAGATTGAGGTAAAAAAAAAAAAAAGGATTTTGTGAGCCACAGCCAATCAGTGTTTAAGGTTTATATATTCATGTATATGTAAACTTGGTTAATATGTAATATGTCTTTTGTGTATTAAATATTTATAATATATTTATATAGCATATTATTAAAAGTTAGGGGTCAGCAAGATTTTTGTGTTTTTGAAATAAGTCTCCTATGCTCACCAAGGCTGCATTTATTTGATCAAAATACAGCAAGAACAGCAATATTGTAAATCTATTTCACAATTTAAAAGAGGTTTTGTCTGTTTTAATGTTTTTAAATGTCATTCATTCTATGCTTATTTGGTGCTCAAGAAACCTTTCTTATATTATCAATGTTGAAAACAGTTGTTATATATATATGTATTCTATCCAAACTGATCATTTTGATATATCATAGTTCATTATAAAAACAATTTACATAAAAAAATTAAACTAAAAATAAATATGAACTATATGAAATAAAATAATAAAGAATATTTCAAAAATACAATTTGCACAACATTTGTGATAAAATTTAAAATAAAAAAAACATTGCCCTTATTTTTTGTCAAGAGTACATCCCATGTAAACTGTCAATCTATCTTTTTTTTTTTTTTATCACATATTACACATGCATAACCTGTGGATATTTTATCTATAGGGTGAAGGCTTCATTTGCTTTTTCATACAGCTCTGCATGTGGAGAACAGTACGGGCAAGAATATGGGCAAAGACATTGACTTGTTCTTTCCACTGTGAGGTAAAACCCAATAAATCCCTTCTCATGTGAATGCTGCCTCATTAGAGAACAACATGTTCTGGAGGTTTGGCTGTGTTCTTCTCTCTCACGTGGAGTTCTGGTGTGATGCACGACTGAGTGAGTTTTACCAGGCTAATCTAGTACTAGTGGTTGTTATGCTCTCTAGAGGACAGCAGTGGGGGGAACGGAGCAGAACGGGCTTCATGATGGTTGGTGTGTTTGAAGTGGATCTGAATGATGAAAATGGGATCATTTAGGTAGATTTAATGCGTGTGAGCGTGAATGTGTGTGACTGATCTCCATCTGGTGTGTGTAGGAGAAATGGAGGAAAGAAAGATCTGGTATGAGAGTGAGAGAGTTGAGTTCAGCCCTGTGAGAGCTCTGGCTTGGTTGTCACTCTACATTGCCAACATGAGCTCACAGCAATTACATCTAACTCAATTCAGCAGGCCTCTCTTGCCCTCCTTCCTCTTTTCCCTCTTTTCACTCTCCTCGTTCGGCATGTATCTCACTTTTCTCTTCCCGTCCCTCTTTTCTCCACCATTAAACACTTCCTACATGCCTGACACTGCTTTTAACTGTAGAAAACCCTTTATACATGTAATCCATTACTGTCCTCTGATTATAAGCTCTCTGCCATTCACTCGTCTTTTTAAAAACATTCCCACTAGAACTTCGACTAGCCTCTTTAAAAACTTGCTTTCATTCAGTTTACTAAAAGCGGTCACCTTTGCCCACAGAGAAAGCACAAGCTTCCTTGCATTCTGAAGTTACATTAGGCCACTCTAGTGTATGCATTTCTTTTGGGACTTGACACCAGTGGCCTGATCCAAACTTCTCACATGGTGGAGTAAAATATTGCAGAAACTGTCAGAATAACTCATTTGATGTGAGAATTTGTACCAGACATAGACATAGTCATTGACATAGCAGACGGAAACCAGGTTTGCACCAGCCAGAGTAACTTAGCCAAACTTCTGCTTTACCTGTCCTCAGAGAGTTTTTCTGTCGGCCGAATTATGAAAACATACATTCATATCTCCCTATGTCAAATATTGTTTTGATGGAGAACCTGCAGTTTTAACGGTGTGTTCTCTGTCTAATATACACTTGTCTCTTGACCATATGTGAACCTTTTTTTTTACTTTAAAGTGCACAGAGATGTAGTAAGATGTTATGCTAACTGCTGCTGAACGCTGTTAGAAGACAGAGCGCTGACTGGTATGTCCAGCTGGTACACGCCAAAAAATAAATACATTTTCAAAATCCAGATACCATCTTAAACTGGATTTAGCAAAGTAAACGAATTCCAGCAGGCTAAACACAGAATCAGCTGAATGGTATCTGACATTAAAAGATTATTATTTTTTTTTAAATCCTTAACATTTAATTTAAATCCTTAAAATTTTAATTTAACATTTAAACAAGACCATTATTTTTAGTTACTTTCTTCTTCGCTTCCAATTGTAAACACTAGGGGTCGCCATTTGTTCAAATGTAGTTTTAAACAGCGCAAAGAAATGCAAGTCAAAAGTCCCTCGAGAAAAATAGTCCCTTCGGGAGCAGTTTCAGTCAAAAACGAAATCAACTAGGCTACGTCTAAGAATATGCATCTGTAATCTCATTTCGCCCGTGTGCCATATTTAGGCCTGTCACAATAACAACTTTTTGATAACAACTGGGCCTATTGCCCCAGAAATAATTGCGATAAGCGATATTATTGTCATTTTAAAGACCATTTTATGCCACTGAATATATATAATCATAATGTAACTGCATAATAATGCAAGAAGGCCTACACACTTCCAAATGACAACAAACTTTTAATTTTTAAGAATATTTAAATGATGGAAAACTTGAATAAATAGAAGGCTAAATAAAAATTTTCTAACAAAAAGTGCAAAGTAGAAAAAAAGAAAAATGCACAAAGAACTTGTATGGAGATTTTTCCATCTACAGATTTTTTCCTGACCTACTTTTCTCTGTAAATTAAGGGTGCACAATATTGCTGAAAAACACAATCCCTACTTATCAGTTAGATGTCCGTGTGCACAAAGGCACAGACAGATTCCTAAACAAGACCATATCTGCAGATTAAACTTTTTTTTTTGTAGAAGCATTTTTTAAATTTGAACTAGCGCCTCATGACTACACCACATTATGTAAGAGAAGCTGCAAAAGACCCAGGCACAAGTGGAATGTACAAAACATGGTGACATACATTTTTAAGTAAATATAATGGGCGATATATTGCGTCACCAAAAATTATTGAGGTCATGTACATATATTGCGCGATAAGTCGATATATTGATTATTGCGACAGGCCTAGCCATATTTACTACAGTTACTGAATACAATACAACGTACTGGTATTAGCCACCAAAATGTCAGAAAAAATTGTGAAAGCTGTTTGAAAGAGCAGCAGGTGTCAGCTGTAGTGAACTGGATGATGTCATGACTGAACTCTCAGAAATGTTGGGAATCATGGGATACAAGAGACGCGGAATGGAATGAGATCAAGCACCCGATGGATAAAGTAGGCTAATGAGCAATGTGGAAAGAATGGAGGAAATAATAAAGAGCTCTGGACAAGTGTTTTAAAAGTCAAAATAAGAAATAAACAATTAGATATTATTTCGCCATTACATGTTTAGTTAGTAAATAATCTGCACAGTCCTTTCTATTTTTTGCGTATTATATTTGCATACATTAGCCTATCCGCATACCCAACTTAAAGGTTGCTTCGGGGGACTTTTACGGTAAGTACGATATTTAAATAGCTACCTATAGCCACTGGAGCATCTGCATCATGATAGTTTGTTTATTTACATTCCTGTGAAATATATTCTATAAAGCTATCATGTTGAGATATCACTGAGCGGTTTTTCACCAGTTCTTTGCGCAGTTGAGATCTCACCCTTCAGCCATCTGGTGAAGGGTGTGAAAATCTGGAGAAGGCAACCCACTTTCGTCAAGAGGTAACCTCTCCACCTCTCTCTACCCCTCTTTACACACCCTCTCTGTCTTCCAGCCTCACATTCACTCACACACCCGCTCAGGTTGTCACAGCGGTGTCCATCAGGCAGAGATGCCGGCTGAGCGATTCGTGGCGGTGGCTGTGATTTGCGCTCTGATGGCGCAAAACTGCCGTGGGGAGCTTGTGGCTCATGTGCAGGAGCTGAATCCCGTGCCTGAATCCTCCCTGCTCAAGCCCAAAGTCATGATCGCGATTCTGGCTCGGAACTCGGCGCACAGCCTGCCGTACTACCTGGGCTGCATCGACCGCCTGGACTACCCAAAGGACCGGATTGCGATATGGTGAGACTCTCCAAACTGGACTTTTATGGAGTGCGGCTGTAGAGGTGTATGGTTTGCTTTGCAGCAAGTGTGTTGGTTGAAAACTGAGAAG